AGAAAAAAACTTGTCTGCTAGAACTGACAGTGTCACTAAATTTCCTTATTATATGTTTTTAAAATGAAAGACACTGAAATAAACCCAGTATTCTTTTACTTATTTTGTATCATGTTAAAATATCACGATGAGATCACTATTTGGCCTGATATATGAGAGCACTCTCTGCACAAAATCCAGTGAGATCAAAAGCACTCAGTGGTCATTTAATTAGCAGACCAACGTATCTGGACCAGAATGCTTTTAAACTCTTGCTGGACATAGTTCAACCACTGTAGATTGCCAGATATTACCTATCATTGTTTTGACAGACATATTTGAAGTTTGATATGAAATCATAATTTATTTCGAGCCAGACATTATGAAGAAATTTCTGTGCATTAACTAAGGATGGGTCACAATAGTATCAATCAATCTATAATACTAATCAGTCAATATTCTAACTGCATATTATTGATTGTACTGTGAACAATTCATCCATGCATTTTTTTTTTTTATTTCTCGTAAATACAATTTTCATAACTCGATCTAGTGGTGACATTTGCTGCATTTCTCCAATCATTTTGTCCTCATAAATGCTGCTCCATTCTTACAAGTGATTACAAGTGTCCTACATTTGGACGTGTCTTAGCACCTATTCGCTTTTAAATAAACATGTAAGCTGACTAATTATACAGGCTACCCAGTCAACACGTGAGATCATGCGATGATCACAGTGACATCACACGATCCTCATACTGTGATCCTCACGTGGGCACACAGTGAGTGCGCTGAGTGGTTACACTTTTGGCTCACTGTGACACACACATTGTGACCACACCATGAGAATCATGTGAGCTCATGGTGACATCATTGTGAGATCAAATTGTTGACTGGGTACCTAATTATCAATTGCTGTAGTTGACCTAGTATCCATACAATGAAAGTCAATTGGTTCCATTGTTGTTTGGACCCCAGCATTCTTTTCTTTTCTTTCAAATATGTTCATTTGTAACCCTGGACCACAAAACCAGTCATATGGGTCAATGAGATGTGTACATCATCTGAAAGCTGAAGAAATATAAGCTTTCCATTGATGTATAGTTTGTTAGGATAGAATGATATTTGGCTGAGATACAACTATTTGAAAATCTGGAATCTGAGGGTGCAAAGAAATCAAAATATTGAGAAAATCACCTTTAAAGTTGTCCAAATGAAGTTCTTAGCAATGTATATTACTAATCAAAAATTAAGTTTTGCTATATTTACGGTAGGAAAATTGCAAAATAACTTCATGGAACATGATCTTTATTCAATATCCTATATGTATTTTTGGCATAGAAGAAGAATTTATCATTTTGACCCATACAATGTATTGTTGGCTATTGCTACAAATATACCCGTGCTATTATGACTGGTTTTGTGGTCCAGGGTCACATATGTGTTCCACACAAGACAAAAATGCATGCATGTTTGAAACAACATGAGGGTGAGTAAACAATCACAGATTTATGCTTTGGTGAACATGTTACATACAATGAAAGAGCACAAATCCAACACTGAGAAGTGTTGACCCCAAAATAATGTAGGAGGAGATGCCTTCGTGTGGGTAAAAGACAGTTTCGAAATAACTCCGCTATAATGTTCTTGTAGCCTTCATCATTAGAAAGATGCATTCACTTCAGGATGATCTCAACAGCGAGTGGGAAAAGAGAATGTCAGAGTGGAGTGTTCTGAAGGCCTACTGACCTCACAGTTGTAGATGTGTTCTGTTTAATTGGCCAGGTGAGAGGCATCCACTCACTTGCACCAGCTTTCCGGGGGAAACAGACAGCAGGAGTTCGGAAAGCTCTGAAATTAAACTTGACTGTCAGCCTAATTGGTCCCCTTCCTGTATTGTGCTGTTTGTGTCCTTTCTTCAGTTATGAGACTTGAAGTCTGCGGCCTCATCGCTGATGCTCTTGAAACAGAGAGGCTGTGCTAATGAGATGCTTTTGAAATAAATAAAACCCTCAGCCTGTTGTTTGTATTATGAGTAAATACAACTAATATGCCAACGAATTTGAGTTCAGTCTCAATTTAGGCTCTTGTTTTGTCGTGACTTTGTTTTTGAGCCTTTCTCAGCAGAGAGTGCAGCCCTAGAGTATATTTACCTCTGTATTGTGTTTTTCCTCCGTTGAAAAGACTGGCTCAGGCCAACATAAATTTTCATGCTGGACTGGTGCTGGTCTAGCTGCATGGGGACTCGTGTAGCCGTGGTGTCAACTGTTCTTCCATCATTTACCCTTGTGTCATTCCAAACCTTTCTTTTATTTTGCAGAACACAAATTATGTTTACAAATTCATGGCACACTAATCGTCCCCATACAATGAAAAGTGAAGTTGGAATGGGTCTGCTGAGCTTTAAAAAGTACAAAAAGGCAGTAGTTTAGGTTAAAATGTAAGGTATAATTGAAGCTTACTGAAAAAAAGCAGTGTTGTGCAAGTTTATACTTACAGTAACTTACAATAACTTACAGTATACAACTACTTATACATGCATATTATTTCCAACAAACTCTATTCAAAAGAACCCTGAAAAAAAATAATAAATCCACGAAAATATGAAGCAACACAACTGGTTTAATTATTGATAATACGAAATGTTTAAGAAATTAGCTTTATGAATACTTCCTACCACTGATGAACACTCTCAGCAGCTCTTAAATCTCATTAAATGGGTCCTATTATGCTCTTTTACAAAGTCTTGATGTTGTTTTGGGGGTGTACTAGAGCAGGCTCTCATACTAGGTTGTTCGAAAAACACATTATTTTTCACATATTTTACATTAGTACAACACCTCTCTCCCCAGTCTGGCATGAACGACACGAATAGTTCCTATATCAAATGAAGGCCCGCCTTCTGAAATACGAAATGTGCTGTGATTGGTTAGCTGGGCCAGTGTGTGTTGTGATTGGCAGCACTCGGCGCCTGGTTGGGAAACATTACAGACTAACTAAAATTGAAAAAGTGAAAAAGCATGATAGGACCCCTTTAATGTTCTCATATGTCCAATTATTTATATTAATATATACAGTAAGTAGTGCCTTTCGGTTGAGATACAAGTCATAATGGGGTCAGATTTTAATTATAAATTGTCAGATGTTAAAACACACTGAAATTAAAACAACATAGAATAGGCTGTCTAAAGCAGAGTCTCCATTTGCACCATATCTCAAACAGTCTTTAAGAGTCCCAGTGTGCTGAAAGTCTAAATCTGTCCACCAGTGTATATACAATCCACAAAAACTGATAATCCAAAACCCTTCAAGCCAGTCTCTGGGAAGGTAAGCCCACAAATAGGGAAATGCACAGTCCAGAGTATCAGTGATCCCCCCCACAGCTATCATTGTGTTTGGTGACAGCCATTTTGATTGTCATGCTGCTCTTGGTGCATTTCCTAGTTTCCTGTCATTATGATTGTTCAGTAAAAACGAATGCATGCTCAACATGGGTTGGTACAGTATACCAAAGCTAGAGTTGCCAACTTCAGAAAAGGAAAATAATCCCTTATTAATCCCAATTGTGATTCTTTATAGGAAAATAATGGACAGAATAAGGGACGCTCAAAATATTTAAAAGGTACCACATAATGTATGTCATTTGAGTGTCTGCAGTTAAGTATGTTTATAAAAGGTGTTTAAAAGGTTCTTAGAAATAATGCTTAACCTATGTGCAGTTATTCTAAAAATAAGTTTAATGTCATAAAAATGTCACACACGAACCATCGGCCCGAGTGGCTACTATGGAGTTGTGACTGCACAAGTGGTGTAGTACTTTACGTACATACATAAATATGGAATAAAATTTGAAAGAATAACAACTGAATGTCTATGACAACTGAACATCAGTCAATAAAGCATTTTTTGAAACAATGGCTCTTTAAATTTTGAACTAAAATGTTATTTTAACCATGTAGCCTATGAATAGTTGGAAATACATATTTTTTTCAATTAAAAGAGAACTTAGAGAGTTAGTATGGGCTGCTTTTGGTGCTTGAATTTGTGCTTCAATGAGGTCCAAGATTAAGAATACGCTAGAATTTCCAATTTTAAAAATGCATATTTTTTTCTCTGTTTAACAACATTAACTTACAATAGTAAAAGACGTCTTCCCTCAAATAGATTGCATTGTTTCTTGTGTGGCTAACTCATGATCAATAATCACGTTGTTTGCACTCTCCCAAACTGATTTGTTGAAATCAAAACGTGAACTGTGAAAGGAATTGCCGTTAGCTCAAATCCTTCTCGCTGTGAAGCAAAAGCAACCAGGCGGCAGAGGATTCTGCAAAAACCTTCATTGAACAGCTACGCTAACAAATAAAACAATAATGTGTCCAAAAAGAATGATTAATTATCAATTTTGAATTTTATATTCATATGGTCTGATGGTCACTTGACTTGAATACGGGATAAACTTCTATGATGGGACAATTCTGTACTATATGGATCAGCTGGCAACCATAACCAAATCTCCAAAAAATGCAAAATTGTATTACCGGACTATCACACAAGCACGCGTTTCAAACACACAGGCTCTTCTTCAGAAGACATTTATGTCAATATTGTATGTCAATAATTTTTTTTTACATTTTTGCAGCTTTGGTGCACTGACTTTTGTTCTGTTTTCACATGGCAGGTACATTGTGTATATTAGACATACACAAAAAGACATATACAAAATCCAAACCAAGTCCTATATACGTAAAAATCATTATTAAATATAAAGTGGTTAAAACATAACTTATGTGACAGTGTTGCAATGTTGCATATTTTCTATAGATTCTCCAAAATATGTCCTCTTGTGTTCCATGAAAGAATGTGATAGTATGACAGGTTTAAAATTATTAAATGATATTCATTTTTGAGTTAACTATCCCTTTCTGTAACTCACCTTGATCTTTTCAGCAAGGTCTGTAAGCATAACATGTTGCTTGTTTTATCTGTCAGAACTGACATGTCCTCATTGTTTTGTGTGACAGTGTTGGGAGGTCTGGAGTCTCGTGGGGTCCTGAGAAAGATCAGCGATATGCTGGAGATAATCATGAAGAGGATCGACACCCTATCAAAAATGAGCAACAGCAGCGAGTCCCACAGACTGGAGGAGTTGAGCTCTGCTCTCCACAGGTGCAGCTTCACATTCATGATTACAGTGCAGCAGTGACATTCTTCAAGTCAGGTGTCACTTGCTGCCTTCAAGTCACGTAGGGATAATCGTATTTACAAGATGAATGCACATGAACGGCGCCACATCGTTTTAATTGCCAGTTATCTCCATGTTTATCTTTGTGCTGTTAGCGCATGGTTCAACTGAAAATGCAGTTCATCACGGCTTGAGGACAAATTAATCAAGTCTGTTAAACTAAAATGTAACCAAATGAGGTTTTGCAGCTGCTAATAAACAATGTTTTAATTTTAAGAATTGTACTCGATACACTACATTGATTTGATTAGATTTTTACGGGTGAGATTAGATTTTTCCAAGAGCTCAATCGCTATGTGAAAACTGGTTTGCATATATTTTGTGCATGTGATGAGGAATAGCGATAAGTCTCGCCAGGAAACATTAGCATAGCTGCTGGATAATGAAGCAACTGGCCAGCATGGCCAAAACACATCTGTCATCATTTGCTGTGGCTGCATGAGAATGAAAAATAATACAGAAAGAAACTGAGAAAATATATAGATTACACTTGACCCTCACAAAAATGCTCAATGCATCCATTTTATTCCAGCCACAGCACTTGAACACACATCACACCGCAGTGACAAGTTCAGAGTTTGCAAGTGGGAAGTTCCCAATAGGTCTTGAAGGCAGCAGCTGTCTGAATGTTTCAGAAACAGTCAACTTCTTGCCGATGAGTTAGTTAAGACACTTCCCAGAGTTTTCAGCTGTCTCCATGGAAACAGATGCCTGTCACATCAGAAGTTCAAATGGGCGCTGGTGCCATTGCTTTACTTTGGGATTTCTCCAGACATCAACAAATCTTAGAGGATAAAAACACCCACACACCCCAGCTCTACAATCTTTGATGCGCGTCAAAGTATGATGTCAACTTTCTATTTCTTCTGTTTCGCTGAAAAGTAATCAATGGAAGTGATAGTTTAAACTGAAGTATGTAATTCTTGCACCAGTGGTGTCACCGATGGAACTGCAAAAATAATTAAAAACTGTCAAAGTATTGATGCTTACACATATGAAACCTGGTAAATTACCGTAAAATTCCTAGACTGACTTTTTTGGTAAATACACAAATGCTTTGCATTTTTTTACAGCTAAAATACCATTCACACATCAGTACCAAAATACCAATAAACTCCATGATGTCAATCAACAGAAATTACCTTTAAATGCTTCAGCGTTTTCTACATCTGCACGGATGAGGATAAGCACTTTAGTTTCACTATCTGTCCAACTTGACATAATTTTTTGAATTCTGAGAGACAGGCATGAGGGAATGATCTCACAGAACACATTTTTGCTTGAAAGAGAGAGAGAGAGAGACTACACAATACTATTCAGTGCAGAGCCAGTAGCTGCGTTTCCATCCACCTATTTTTATTTGCATTTTGGAATATCACATAAAAAAACGCTGGATGGAAACGCCAAGATGCGCATAAATTCTAAAAATGCACATACTTATTTGCACATTTGAGTAGGATAAACTTTTTATCCGATAAGAAAAAATGCGCATAAACTACGATGGAAAAACATTTACCGAATAAATTCCTCCATGCGCCTCTAAAAAGTCATGTGACTTTGCACTATGGGACGAGATAACTTGACTAGCAGCGGACCGATCTTGTTCACAGCATCTTTATGTTGTTATGGTCATTCTGAAATGCCTGAGCAAA